TACTGTGTGTGTGTGTATCTTCTGATTAAAAAAATATCTGTACAAGTTTGGTATTTAGAAGCTGTTTCTTCATGATAACACTTTTGAAGCCTACTCCCTCCGGCTTAGAATGTAGCAGTCTGATAGACTATACAGTATAATCGCACATCGCTCTTGAGAATGCAGCGATAAAGTTGTTAACCTAACCACTTTTTACACATTAGAACTGAATGTTAGAAGGCAACCACTGTGATTTTAACAAAGAATCCATGCAGCACAGGGAAATCAAGTGAAAGTGAGAGTTTTCTGTATTGTAATATCATAAAGTATCCAGCAGGGGGTCCAACAACTCTTTACTCTTAATTGTGCTATTCTTGTTCTACTTTTTTTGCTAGCGATTGGCACAATTGCATTAAATTAGGTGGTGTTCAAATTTAAAAAGAATATTTGGCACAGCCAGGAAGAACTGACAACCGCTTGGCAATCCAAATCATACTGCATTAGGATGACCTAAGATATTGAATAAAAACCTGGAGCAATATAAAAACTGGGACAGAATCTGGAGAAGTTGTTCATGGCGACCAAGTAGCTTCTCTCTTTCATTTTCAAAGCTTCACTGAACAAACTGAAGCTGGTTATTATGGGCAACTGCTCCAGATTCGGTCTGCTCCAGTTTTTATACCCCCCCAATCCACCCCCGCCAAATTGTTTTAGGCCTGGTTCACACTGAACACTTTTTCTGCCCTAGAAAAAAAACGCTCAAAAAATGTGCCCCCGAAAAAATCCAATTCATTTCTATGGCCCTGTTCACATCTGAGCGTTTTGTCGCAATAAGCAAAATGCCTGTCATTGGAAAAAGTACATGAGATTTTTTTTGGCATATTACAGCTCATTTTGGGCCCATAGACACAATAGGAAACGCTTGAAAACGCGCGTTTGCTGTGTTTTTGCGCTTTTTTTTGCGTTTCATGCGAGTTTGCTCATTAACATCAATGAGCTACAATCTGCTCACAAAAAGGGGTGCTTTGATTTATGCGCATCAAAACCCTCAAAAACTTACATCAAAATGCTGTCGCCTAGGTGTGAACCCAGCCTTACGCATGGAGTTTCATATAAGTCAGAACAGAAATCCAAAAGATCTACTAATAAAACTCACAAATACTCACACCTGCAAAGCAGATATCTAAAGCAGTATTTCATTGCTGTGTACCACTCCATAGCATTTTTCTATGACAGAGGTGGGCAACTTTGGCACTTCAGCTGTTGTGGAACTACAAGCCCCATGAGGCATTGCAAGTTTCTGACAGCCATAGGCATGACTCCCAGAGAAAGAAGCATTATGGGATTTGTAGTTTCACCACAGAGTGTAGAGGTTGGCTGGTCAATAAAACAGCTGTGCATAGTTAAATGGGTCAGTTCAGTGAAAATAATATTTCAGTTTTTTGATAGATTCTGGAAAATTAAAGAATATCTAAAGGCAAAACATTTTTTTTTTCCATTTTGGATTCAGCGGTAAGAGGTTACAACCCCAGCCAGGTTTTTATTGCTGACTGTGTCCCCACAAAAGGGACACTCTCTATTTGTCCTGGTTAAATTGGACTAAATGTAAAGGAAAAGCCTAATTTTGATTTGGCCTCCAGAACTGGATTAAAGGGGACATGTTTCAATGGGGATACTTGTTTCGGTGGCAACTGTCTAAGAGGGGGTTTGCACATTTCAGAGATTTCGTCTCACTCCCTATTGTGCCTTGAGGACAGGAAGTGAAGTGAAAAATCTCATATGAGACAGAACTGCCAAAAAAACCCGACAGGTGTTTTAACTATTCTCTACTTGAACCTTTCTCAACCAGGGTGCCATTTAACACTGGAGTGCCTCCCGGCCTCTTCAGGGGTGCCTCAAAATTTTGTACCACTGGGACTACGATGTGAAGGAGAGAATTAAGACTTATGTGTAGGGGGCTCCTGATGTAAAAGGGGAACTCTGATGCGAAATGGGGGGACTCTGATATGAAAATGGGGCTTCTGATGTAAAGGGGGGCCCCTGATGTAAAGGGGAGCTACTGATGCAAATAGTGACTCTGATGTGAAGGGGTGGGGGAAATCTTGATTTAAAGGGGGCAATTCAATGTGAAGGGAAAAACTACTTTTTTGTGTGTTTTTGCATGGGGTCCCCTTAAAATCTATGACATTTTGGACTGGGGTGCCTCAAAATTTTGGATACTTTTAAAGGGGGCAGTGACTAATAAAAGAAGGAGAAATGCTCCTCTACTTTATCTACAAGGGAAAATAAATAGACGCCTTTACAAATTCTTATATATGTCAGATAATCTATTGGTAAGATCTCTGAATTTTAATGACATCTGCTCTGGCTATAATTACGGGTTCCCTCTTTCCCTGTTGGATTTTCTA